GCCTCTCCTGAATCAATTTCAGGTGTTTCTTCAGTAGTGATGCTGCTGCCTGCTCTGATTGGATCAGAGGACTAATTCCCCTCTTGTTAAACAATGTGAACACAATGCTTTGTAAAAATGTAGAGTAGAAAGTACATGTTTGCTGATATATAGTGGAGTAAAGGTGAAAAACCCCTACACATAAATCTGCTGAAGTGTAGTAAAGACACATGAAAAATGTACTTCAACTTAAGTAACTAAGTAAAAGTACTTTATAAGTTCATTATAACATCTGGATTTCCTCCAACAGCTGTGAGTGTCGACCATCACCCCTCTCATGGTCTGTTTCACAGCCTGCTTCAATCTGTTTTTGAGGTTTGTTCCTTTTTAATATTCTACGTTTCTCTCATAAATTCTCCTCTGGCGGTAAACTGAAATATATTCGAGCTACAGTGGTTAGCTTTGGTCCGAGTTATTGCTTCAAGTTATTTATCATGGTTGACACTGTGACGTTACTTGTTCCATATGTTAAAGCAACCTGTGACCTGTGACCTGCAGCTGTAAAGCACAACACTGTTCAGCCTCGAACTGTTTCATTTTGTAATCAGACATGTAATTAACAGCTACATGTGATGTTGTCAAACCGGCACTGAGCAAAATTACTCTCCAGTAGTCGGCAACAATGCAAATACAAATATGTGTAGCCTATTTCTGAAATATTTCCAGCAGTATATTTACATAATGCAAATCGTATTTGCACAAAGAGAAGATGCATAACTGTATTTACTGGACTTTTATTCAGAGCTATAGCTACAAGGACACTGAGGTCTCATCCTAATTTCTGAGAATGTATGGGTTTCTGACAACTGAGGAGGAGTCTATGACGTAAAGCATCAAAAACACATGGGACATCTTAGGAATTTAATTTGATGGATAGTCAAATAGATGGACAGATATTTTAAGTGAGGGGTGATTGGTTTATTTGTGGCTGATAAGCTGCAGCTCCACTCTACATACTATCAGTACAGGACTTTGAAATATACAGGAAGTACATTTCCCCCCCCCCCACAGCTTTTAGTACACGATCACATACTTTTCACATGCACTCACCTCCTGTGACAGGTGTATGGATGACACTATTGTTCACTTCTTCACCAGGTTCACGCTCTTGGTTGTGTGTGTGTGAGAGCTACAGGTATAACTCATGTTGTGGGGACATGTTTACACAGTCACATTATGGGGACACGTCTTCATTATGAGGACAAAAAGCAAGTCCCTATAACGTGAATCATTGAATTGTAATGTGAAGACATGTTTTAAGGTTAGGTTAGTGCACAACTATATCTTCGTGAGGACCATTTTGAGAAAGTCAAGACTTGGTTTTAGGGTTGGTTAGAAGTAAAACAAAGAAAAATTCAATAAAAGATATCTCATGCAGCTGCAGGAGGAAAAGATGGTGCACACTTTTTATGTTATCTGGACAAATGAACCAATGCTCTCAAAACAAAACTGCAAAACTGAAGCTGCTGAAATTACGTTGCAGTTTTTTTCCCTATAAATGACAGTTGAGTTCAGTTTAGTTCCTCATATGAAGCAGCAGCATGAGGAGGAGGAGGAGGAGGAGGACCCGGCGGCCGGAGCTGCTGAGAGGACGCACAGCTCACATCCGGGGCTGGTTTATTCTGACAACGAAACGTCCTACCCGGAAAAAAAAAAAAGACGAGTCCTGTGTAATCCGATCACACAAACAAAACAGACGCGACTGTGACAGTGCGACACGAGCCGGCTTTGTTTTCTAATATCCGCTGTGTGTGGAGCTTGGTAAAGAAATAACTCGAGTGGACCATGCTCGTGTTCATCAAACTCCTGCCAAACAAACAAGTCTCTCCTCTGCGCGTCGGAGCGGTGCGGGGCGCTGGCTGTGGCGCACACTGACTCTGCAGCAGCTCCGCGGGTAAGAGGCTCCCAGTCTACCCTCGGTGACTGTGTGTGTGTGTGTGTGTGTGTGTGTGTGCGTGTGTGCGTCTGTCTGTGGTGAGTCAGTGCTGCTCATCTGAACATATGTGATGTCTGTCAGGTGTCACTGACTAAACTCCGTCTGATCACGCTTCAACTTTTTCATTGCGTGCTCGCCATCACGTTGTGGACGCGCGCACGACAGCGACCCTCACATATGTCATTCAGGGGCGTGAGGCTCGTGCCCGCTGCTGCTGCTGTCATGAGAAAATAGGGCATCGACCCAGAGCTGCAGCTGAAATATGATTTTGTGGGATAATCGATTGATGCGTAAAAAGGTGAGTTTTGGAACATGATTGTCCCAACTTTCCAGAGCTGAGGTAAAGTCTTCATGTTGTTAGATTTGTCCAAAACCAAACTGTCTGATAGTTTCGAGGTGTTTCATTTGAGTAATAACACTTAGAGCAAAATCTTGACAGAAATACTGTACTTTGTATTTTTGCTTCCACATCACACATATTTTCAGATCAGTGTCTTCCAATAAAAAAACATGATGAGTTTAGACTGTATCAGAATTATCTGGGTGGAGTCAGAGCCTGAACCCTTTGCAACTAGAAGGACCAGAAGGACACAGAACTCTGCCACTTTATCACCATGCTGCATGTGCATGTACTGCATCAGATACATAAACCGTACACACATTTCTGTAAACTGTTAACACAGGCAATATATATAATATATGTGAAGATCACCCCCTGAAAATGCAAAATTTGATTCACAAATATTGAATTCACCTACTAATATGACTCGAGTACATTTTTCATCGAGAATTCTGCAACATTCCTTGAGAAATTCTCAAAAAAGACATCATAATGTCTCCCAATGTCAAAGGCAGTGAAAGGAATCCTGGATCCACACTAACATTGAATGGGTTCTTCCCTGACCCATACCACATCCCTCCAAATTTCACATTAGAAAACATAGAAGGCAGCCACTCGTGAACCAAGAGCCACCATCTGTTTTTACCTCTGTCAGTGACAAGTAGCGAAGGATGACCCAACTACCTTGAAATGTGGACTGTTGCCATGGTAATTAACATCCACATCAGTATTCAAACACTAAGTGGTTTATTTGATAAAATATGCATTTCCACAAGAGGTAATGTTTGGTGTTTTTGCTTGTTATTCAAATTGTTGATGATTATTTTTCCTCCAATCACCAAATCTTTTAAACTCGAAGTTAAAGGCATAACTCCACTGATTTTACACGTCAAAGTCAATTATGTTATCACAGGGAGTCAAAATCAAGTTAAAACAGATGTATAATGTCTTCAGCAGCTCTGGAGGGAAATAAAATCAACTGAAGTCAGGCAGCAGCACTTTGGCTCCATGGTTTTGTCTTGGAAGCATCAACCAGGCGAGTAAGACACACGTCTGTACTGAGCAGCATCTGTGGAAGTGTAGGGTTGATAGTCTTTAGAGTTTAGCTGCTACCAGGGATTCAAAGTTTGAAAATCTTGTTTCCAGGTGCATCAACATTGACTGGTCTTTTGTTACTGTGTCATTCTGTCTGGACATTACTCTTTTAACCCTGACACATACAATGTGTTTCTGTTGCTGTAAGAAGAGGCCTAACTTGTCCAGAATGAAGCAGATGAGTGCACAGAGTTTTAGGTGTGTGTCAGTTCGCCACCCCGGATATGGTAAAAGAAATACCTCCGATATCACAGCTGTGATCGACAGTATGCGCTGCGTTCTGTCCTCATACACACAAACTCAGTTATATATTATATCTGATGTCTACGTGTCAAAGCAAGAGTATTTCAAATGTCACACATATCTGATAATCTGATATCTGAAGTATATTTACTGGTGAAGTTTTCCCTGAGGTCACTGATGGTTGATGGTTATCCAGATGTGCCAGTGCCACACACTAAATGATTTGTGTGAGTGTGAGTGTGAGTGTGTGTGTGTGTGTGTGTGTGTGTGTGTGTGTGTGTGTGTGTGTGTGTGTGTGTGTGTGTGTGTTGGTATCTGACCTTTGCACCATCAATTTCAAATTTCCATCACAGACTCTACAGTTTTTGCAGGAGGCATGTAAATGGTTTGCATTTTTCACAGATTACAATGGGCTGAAGAAAATATGTTGGATGACTGACGCAGCAGCAGAACGGCCCACAATCAGTTTCAGAATGAAGCATTTTCCAAACCGTCGACCTAAAAATAGTCTCACAGGACGTCCGGGGAAGATGCGACCTGTTTATTTCTCTAGTCTGTGTTTTGTTGGGTGTTGTGTGTGAGCATTTTATTGAAAATAGTTTTCCATGAAACAACAAACAAAACAAAAAAAAAAAGAAATCAAAACTGGTGGAATGGATATTGGGTGAGAGGCGGGGTACACCATGGACAGGTCACCTCGAAATCCAGAGACTAACCACCATTCACCTCCTCATTCACACTCATGGTCAACTCAAAGTCTGCATTTGACTTCAGTCTGTTTTTGGGCTGTGGGAGGAAGCTGGATAAATAATTTCCCTCTTCTTTACATGTCTTTAAATAGCACCGTGATATTTTACATGACTGTCCAATGCATTATAAAAATCAGTCACAGATGTGGCCTAGTTGCCATAAATTTACCTCTGGGGCCACATTACATTCAAGTCCCTTTCATAGCATTAAAATGTGTAGAGATATAAAGTCCTGTGAAATGGAAAAAAAGTGCAGAAAACGTTCTTTTTATTCAGAGCTTCTGACCGAGTGCTGGAAGTCACTGTGATAGCTTCACGTTCAGTCTGCAGAGTTGGACTAAAAGTTCCCCTGGAAACTTAAGGAGAACAATATTATGAAATGGAGGTCTCATTACGTCACAAGCCAGAAATCTTCCATCTCTGCCAAAGAAACATAAACTTTACTGTCAGAAGTCCGATATGGATGAAACTCTCTTGGATTGAAATACCACCAGCATACCTGAGTGTCTGGGCTGAATGAGTCTTTTTTGCCAGCGTTCTGCAGCCTCTGTGATACACATGCGTGCCATCATCTTAATGAACATATCCACCCACCCACCCTCAAAGCCTTCACTCCTCCTCTCCTCTTTTTCCTTCCCCTCTCCTCCCTCTCCCCTTTCTTCTCTGGCCAGTGGAAATGTGCGTGTGTGCAGATCTTGAGTGCAGTCTGTAATTTTTGGCTGTGGTGGAGGGCCTCAGCTCAGCCTCGGGCTTCGGGGTTTGCTGCTCAGCCTCAATCACGTCACATGAAAAACTGCTGAGTATGAGTGCGGGTCTCTTTCTTTGTGTGTGTGTGTGTTTGTGTGTGTGTGCGTGCATTCATTTGAAAACTAAATGAAAGATGCTTTATCCTCCACGTCTGCCTGTCTCTGTCTCTCTCACTCAGTTGCTCCATTTACATTTTCATCTCCCCCTGTCCATCTCACTCGACTCTCCGTCTCTCTGTCTGTCTGTCTGTCTGTCTGTCTCAGTGATATGTGATAGCAGCAGCAGCAGCAGCAGCATCATGCCGTACGTGGACCGGCTGCACCGAGTGTGTGGTTTCCTGGACATTGAAGAGAAGGAGAACAGCTGCCGCTTCCAGAGACGATACTTCATCCTTGACACACAGGGAAATGCTCTGCTGTGGTATATGGACAACCCTCAGGTGCTCCACACATGACACACACACTTGTACAAACAGCAAGAGGAAGTGAAAATTGACCAATAGATGGCGCGTAACCTTGGACCCTGAGCCAATGACGAGTCTGTGTGTTTGTGTTTGCATGTAGAACCTGCCCAGTGGAGCCAGCTTTGTTGGCAGCCTGAAACTAACCTACATCTCTAAGGTAAACCGCTCTCTCCCTCTGTCGACCTGCCCCACGTCTACAGACGATGCTTGTGTGGCGTGGACACAAATAGAAAAACATGCATATGGGCTTGTGTGTTATCTGTAGTTATAGTTAACGGTCACATGCAGCACAGAGCTGAAGCAGACTCTGTGAAGTTTTCCAGATGTCACGGCGCTCGCTGAACTAACCAGAGATAATGACATCTGGCTTCACTGCACCGCCGCGCTGACAGCTCCTCAATGGACACTCTGAGTCAAACACACGTCAAAGTTATGAAATGTTCCTCTTCTCTTCTCTTCCACTCTCCTCTCCTCTTCTTTCCCTTTACCTCCCCTCATTACCTCTCCTTTTTCCTGTCCTTTCCTCTCCTCCTCTTCCTTCTTCTCGCTTTGTCTTCTTTCCTCTCATGGCCTCTCCTTTCCTCTCCTTGCCTCTTCTTTCCCTATCATATTTTCCTCTCCTCCTTTCTTCTCCTCTCCTCAGGTGAATGAAGCCACACCGAAGCAAAAGCCAAAAACAGAGTTCTGTTTTGGTGAGTCAGTCTTATTCAGTATTTCACAATTGCGCACGTGTGATGAAATAGCATAATGTGTTTTAAATAGTGGATATTCATGAGCGTCTTGTCTTCCCCTGCAGTCATTAATGCAGTATCGCGGCGTTACTTCCTCCAAGGCAACGATGTGACTGACATGAAGGACTGGGTGGCCGCTCTAAACAAGGCCAGCAAGATCACCGTGAGTGCAACAACTTGTGTACACTTGTTTTCTGACGTGCACTGAGCCCCGCACATTTTCCTGAAACAATGCGCAGGGGGCTGTATGTGAGAACAGAAATGTTCGAGTCGGCTGCTCCGGATACTTTCCACAACTTTTCATGCCAGCCCCCTAGTGAAATGTCTGAGGCAGCCCATGTAATAATGGGGGGGTTTTGGTTTGGGTGGGTGCAGATGTCAGCAACTTACCTACAGATGCTCTCTCACACACTTAATGAATGAGGAAATTGTGAATATGCTTAAATATGAGTGATAACACACTGACGTCTCTGTGGTTGAGGTGTCAGAACACACATTTACATATTATTTGCGTTGGTCCAGTGACATGAGCGAGGCCTTTATAAACGTTGATGAGCAGATGTCTCCTGACAGATGAGATGACAGAGGAAAGGGTTTTTTTTCTCTCACCTGCACACTGACACAGGAAGCAGCAGGGCTCACTGTCTCTTTCACTTCCCCTTCGATCACAGGGCCGCTCAGCCGCCTTTTCTGAGCCTCCTCCACACTCAATGAGTCTGTGTGAAAACACTCTCAAGTGTGATGGGCCTCATGTCAACTCGGGAGAAAAGTAAAACTCTGAAAAACGAGTTTCAGGCTTTTAATTTGCAAAATAGGAAGTAGATTTTTCTTTTTCAGCCACATCAGAGGGGTTCATGTTTTTGTCTTATTCTTTCTGTTGCGGCATCAATGAGTGTTTGATACACACTCAGAGATACTCTCAGTTTATTAGGTTCATTCCGAACCTGAAACGAAGCCAAAACACATAAAAGTTGATAAATAAATGTAGTAGTAAAAGTAGTATAGATATAGACTCTGCAACACTTTTGCAGATGTAACCAACGAGAGTCTTGCAGTCGACCATTATAAACATTTCCTTCTACTTAAAAAAGTCAAATTGTCTGTGTGGTTCTCTGGACACAGTTTCCTGCACAATCTTGTAACTCATGTTGATATGGTGCTGATAAGCTAAAAGATTTTTTTTTGTGAGATCAATACTGAAATATAACTTAACTAGATGTTCCCCCTTCCTCATTGTTTTTCTTATCTCAGATTATTTTGAATTGGAATAGATTTTGGTCAAAGGTCACGGTCTCTGTGACTCACAAAACATGTTTTTGACCCTAAAAAGGCTTATTATGAAAACATGTTGTTAATATCTTTTGTCAAAGCCTTTACTACATATATTAAATGAGTCTGGCATTCAACAACAAGGTGGTGATTCTACTGATCTACGGTGAGCATCCACTGTGAACGTTTCATTGCGGTTTGGAAAGTGTGTGACTAAGGTAATGTTAGATGTTCTGCTCCAGGAAATCCACTCCCTGAGGGAATTGAACCACTTGCTCCCGGCCGTCAGGGCAAATGTTGCTGGTTAAGTTTTACTTGCTGATATCAGTGCTTTTTATATTTTCCTACTTATCAACAGGTTCCTAAATCTGGCCCTGCACCTCCGAGGTCTGATGTGACGACGGTGATCAGTGACACTCAGGGAGGGAAGAGGCAGCAGGCCTACAAAACTGAGATCATCGGGGGTGTGGTGGTGCACACTCCCATCCAGGTAAAGTAGAGGGGGATACAATCGTAGAAAGGTGTGGTCACTTTACTACAATTTACAGGTGATTCTGTTTCTGTAAAAAAAAAAAAATAGCGTAACAATTGATGTCAAGCTTTTTATCTTTGATTGTGGCATTTGATGTCAGTAGAGTCTTCTTTCCAAAACCACTTCAAGTATGAGCTGAGATACTTGAAGATGGTAACAGTGAGTGTGATTGTTCTGAAGATGATGACGAGGTTTTCGATTAAATGTTTCAGAATGAGAGTGAAGAGACGGAAGGCAGAGAGAGGAAGGGCAACAGGCTGGGCGTGTTGAGATGTGGTTACTGTGTGAAACAGGGAAATGTGGTGAGTCCCCAGCTACTCACGATATAACTGATAAACTCTGTTTGTTGAAAAAGTCTGTGCAATCTATGATGTGGTGGTTTTTTTGTTTTTTTTTCAGCGAAAAAGCTGGAAGAGGCGGTTTTTCACTCTGGATGACAACACAGTCAGTTACTACAAGTCTGAAGTGGTGAGAAGACAGGATTTTTTACTGCTCATATCTTGTGTTTCCTGTCTCTATTTGTGTGACTTAACTCTTTGTCAGCACGTGTCTGAGTTGTGTTTATGTTTGCTGCAGGATAAGGAGCCTCTCCGAGCCATTCCACTGAGGGACATCCAGAGGGTCCACGAATGTCTCGTCAAGTCTGGGTGAGTCAAACGTGCATCACTGAGCCGACCCAGCATTTTTCTTTTTATTCATCTGCTTATCTATATCATGTAAACAAATAGAAAAAGAATAATTGTTCAGCATCTGAATCATTGTAGTTAGAATAAATTTTGAAGATATTTTATATCTACTCATTCCAGAAATCTCTGTTTGTCTGTCTGTGGCATATAACATATCCCAAGAACCGGTCATCTTATCAGCTTCACTCTTGACATGTATACTTTGAAGGGCTCAAGGAATTTGGATTTGTACACAATATTAATAAACGGAATAAACAGGCGACCAGTGCTCGTCAACGCAAATGACGTTGTTGTTGTTCCAGACATTGTCAACAACAGCTGATTCTCCAGTTCAGGGTTCTGCTACTGAGTCGAGCTTCACTGAACTTTGAATAAACAGGTAAACAGCTCTTTGTGCAGCAGCTTCAGGGTTCAGTGGTTTGAGGCCTGCAGCTGGTCTCTTGCTGAGACTCAATTACTGCAGGTCACTTTTATAGTTTCAGAAAGAAATCTGCAACCAGCATCATCACCACAGGCCAAGAAAACGGCCCATTCCAAAAAGGTTTAGAACAGGCACTGCACTAGAAGGCTCAAAACAAGAGCATCATTGTAGGTTCGATATTCATACATTCAACAACGTTTATCTTTAGCAATAAGATGCTGTTCCTTATTGCAGCATCAAGTGTCAGATATTGTACAGGGGATATTTTTAACTCATGATCCAACCACTGAGCTCAACTGGACACTAGAAATAAACTGATGAGCTGAAGTTAGCGACTGTCTTACAAATCTATGCAAAATGACAAACTTCATGGTTTAGTCACCACCACTGGTGTCTCATTCTGCAACGACGTGGATTTTGCAAAACAATCATTACCGTGATGAACGCACACATACTCACACGAGGAAGATCCACTTCCCACAACACTTAATGAACCGTATCACACCCGCAGGTTACACACAGGCAACAGGCTGGTTTGACATGTGACAACACTGCTGACCAAAGGTGATTCATTCTGGATTAAAAACGTCACAGTGTCATGTGGCACTAAAAGCTCGCAGCAGCAAAGTGGCTGCAGTTTTCTGAGTCAGGCTCTGCAGTTGGAAAATCTTTATTCAGAGAAACTCAGATCATTTAACTCTTATGGCTTCTCCCTGTTTCCAAAGAGAATGAAATGTATTTCATCTCCTCCTTCTGCCAGTTGATTTTGACATACACAATACTTTCAAAGATGTAAAAACAGTTTAGTCCTGGACTTTATGATTAAGAAGTAAAGCCCTTATACTTTATATTATTTGAAACCGCATTACTGATTAAGTTTGCACTGTATTTTTCCTGTTTGACACACTTAGCTGATTTTTTCTCTCTGTCTTTATACATTTGTAATAGTGTAGGACAATCATAGTAAAAGGTTAATGGCAGTTTTTGGTTTCTAAAATGACATACATTCTTGGCAGGTATATTTGTGGTTTGTCAGATCACAAATGATTTGGTACATTTAATTTCAAACCCCAAATATTTTCTGGGTTTTTAGGTTGTTCAGCTGATTCACAGATCACATTTACTAATCAACCTTACCTCCTGTTTCGAAACAATTAGGACATCGTTCTCTGACTTTGCCAATAAGTAGAATAGAGGTAAGGGTATTCGTTTTAATTTTGTAATGCCATGACGCAAAACCTGTACTGTAGAAAAATACTTTTAACTTATATCATTCACCACTAAATCCAACCAACATCATTGTTTTTCAAGGAAAACTTTGCAATGTATCCCAGTACAGTTTCTTAAGGTGCATTTAAAATACAAATCACGCAGTTGTACATTTAACCATTTTCTGTATAGATACAGATACAGGTTAGAGTCAGGCTGCATATTTCTGTCTCAATCACTCCGAGCCAGAGAGAGAACAGATGACACTAACCCAAACCCGACAGGCTTTCTGCTGTTTGTGTCTGAACACGACCCGATCTCGATGCAGTTGCTCGATGTAAACTGAGTTTTTGTTTCTCTGTCCCCCACACACACATGGTTCTTGCTTGTTTTCCCTGATTACAGACATAAAAAAAAACAAAAAAAACAACCCAAACACCAATATCGATTCATCTTTTTTTTTTGTCTGAACCTTGCCCAGCCCAGGGTCGGGTGACCTCACTCTAATTCAGATATTTATGTGAAATACACAGTTAATAGCTTTGCATTATAACCCCCCCCTGTAGCTACTGTGTTTCAACTGGATCATTGTTACTTTCAGGGATCTCCTGCTGAGAGACAACCTGTTTGAAATCATCACCAGCTCCAGAACCTTCTACATTCAGGTAAAAATCTCTTTCATCTGACACGACAGACTTTTAAAAACAGAATGAATGAACACAAAGTGAAACAGAAAGGATCTGTATTGGCAGGTGCATCTGTCCTGAGGTTTTCAGTTGTTTTATGCTCGGCTGCTGATGTGTGGCAGCAGCTCTGTGTTAAGGAGCATGAAAAGTTTGTTTTTGTGAAACGGGCACAGCCATCTGTTACCATGACAACAATAACCTCCGGTTCAGCTGATATAGATGGGGGGGATGGGAGGCACTGTAAGTCTGAACACTTTTATTTTTGTCTGTGCATGAAAAAAGGGGAAGCATGACAAACATCTCAACTGACAAACACAACACATAAACAAAAATAGATGAAACTGATTTTTATCGCAGTGAAAAATGGGAACCCCCACAAATACATTGCATCTTAGATTAAACTGACATTTAGATTAGCCCGCTATTGATAAACTACTATGAGTTTTTTCTATCTGCTCACACGTGCTACACACTGGGGCTTCAACTGATTATATTTAAATCTGTTTTCAAGTGTTCACCCTTAAAGAGGCTGCGACATCTGAAGGAAACTTACATTCTTTTGTAATTTTGCTTAAAAATTACGGAAATAATTCATCAAATACCAAAAAAGTTGCAGATGAGTTGTCTTCTGATCAGCTAATTGATGAATTAACCAAGCATCATTCCAGTCTAATATGCTGGTAACTGATCAATCTGTGGTAAGTTCAAATCAGCCGATGTTATGGCCTTGCTGATTTGTCAGTAGGGCTCTAATTAAAGGTATTTATCTTTCTCTTATACTTGTATTATTTTTTATTATTATTATTATTATTGTTATTATTAGTATTATTATATATTACATTTCCTTTTATACCTCTTATCTTATATTTTCTTAAAGTCAAACACCAGCAATATATTTGTCCATCAGTCAGTGCTTTGAGCCTGCATGTTCGTACTGAAGATGTAAACACAGCACAAACAGGACAGACTTGTCCATTCGCTGTTGTGAGAATGACTCTAGACAAGACGTGCTGCTCTGCTTCATCTTCTGGTGCCTGTTCTCTGCAGACAGACTCTCCTGATGAGATGCACAGTTGGATCAGGGACATTGAGATGAAGATTCAGGAGTTCAGAGGTCCAACTAAGGTAACTCTGTGGTTTCTCCTCTTTTCTCTGGAGCAGAATATCACTGCTCTCCTCAGGAAGTGGAAGCTTGATTCTGATTCTTGAAGATCTTGCTTTTGTCTGTTATTTCAGGGTTTTTCATTCAAACGTGCCTCTTCTCTGTATCGGAGTCACAACTCCTCCTCTGTGTCTCGTGGTCATCAGAGTGATGTGGGCAGACCCTCGCTGGTCAAGTCCTGCTCTGTGGCACCAGGCTGGCAGCCCTGGACCCCTGTCCCACTCTGTGAGCCTTCCATCATGGATACGGAAGACGATGACAGCCCTTTCAGCTCCATCCCAAACTTGCCCTCTCTCTCCTCCTCTTCCACCTCTTCTTCCACCTCCTCCTCCTCCAACTCCCTCTCTACCCCAGCCCCTTGCCCCAGTGCGAATCCCGGGCCTTCGACCAGTGGACTGGGTCTTCTTACCGCGTCAGGGGACGTGGCGAGCGGGCGTCGGAGGCACCGCTCTCAGCCTCAGTCTCACACCGGCTGCAGCTTCCCCTTCAGCCTTGATGACGACGGCATCCGCACCACAGACGTCTAGTTCACTGGAGTCTCATGTGTGGACTCCAGCATTGGTACCTGCTTTGAAATGAATGTGACTGTTAATAATAGTATTCCCTGCTAATGAAGTGACACTGTGACTGAGATTGGGGGCCCCCTGCTGGTCTTGTAGGTACATTGCAGATGAAGGATCACCCAGCAGGAAGGAGACCAGAGGCACAGGGTTGGTTGATCACAGGACTGTGAAAAGGTATGATGGAGTGGTTTTAGTGCAACGTCCTGTCAAAACTTGAATGGTCTTGTTAGTTGTTCTAACAGACTTTAACATTTTGGCACATGCACAAAACAGGATTGAGTTTTCACCCCCTCACTAGACGTATTCACATATATTAGTGGATAAATATTAGCGTCCATGTGTTTTATATTCATACTTAATTTCACAAACTACCCCAATTCATTTTATTTTCCAGTTGAGCTGAGCAGTGTTTCCCCTCTTTCCTCCTTAGACAAACATTGGGTTAAATAAACTTCACCTCAAACGTACCTCCATTAATGATTAACAAGCATTTATTAGTACAATCTAATCAGGTGTCTGGGGGAATTATCCTGTCTCATCTAAAACGGTACCTGCACTCACATGCCAACTGACTCTTGTGTTTTCATCTGAACAAGCAGAGACGAAGGAGTCCGCTGCAGCTTTTATGTGTTTGCACTATGTTTTAGATAACCTTTTTAATACGTGGCTTCAAGATCAATCGTCAGTAAACTGTGACTCGTCTCTTTGTGTTTAACGTGGTACCGTAACAACACACCCGTGTTTTTCCATGGTACTCGTCGTAGAATGTACTTCCACTATCAAAGTACAGCTGATCAGCTGGTTGTCAGCTTTGTAAATGTGATTTTTTATTTTACTGCAGCGTTACATGGGAAAATGTGCCACTACTTTTGGTAATTTAATTGAAATTCCGCACTTTGCTTTTTTTTATTCTTTTTTTTTTTGACACAGCTTTCACACAGATTTTATCAGCTTCCTCTGAGATGAAGCTTCAGATATTTTGTGTTGTTACATCATCAGTCTCAAACTCTCACAGGTTGTCCCCTAGACTTAATGGATGTGGTACCATGTTCCACGCCTGTTCCCATTTTCTGAAGCTGTGTGCACTTGTCTGCCTGCGTACATTGTTAATTCTCCAACTTGTACATTAAATGATGCTTTTTATTCGTCTTGCTTGGGCTGTTTTTTTCCTCAACTCTCAATTTTGTAACTTGTAACTTTGAATATTCACACTCTTTCATTACGTGGCCTATGGGTCCATCCACGTTTTACAGCAAAGACATCACAAACTTCCATTTTTCTTATTTTGTGATAAAGCGGTGACACTGAAACTTTCAACTTTTATCTTTTGTTTTCTCTCTTACAGGCAAAAATGTCAAACTGTCAGGCATGCAGAGGGTCAGGGCCAACGTAGTTGCCCTTTAACACTGTCGCCTTAAACACATGCACGCTATTGTTGATAAAACCTCAAGCGTGCACACACATGCCAATCTAGTGCCCAGAGGTTGTGTTAAGTGAAGTGTTTCACACGTCCAGAGCAAAGGTCCATTAGGTAAAATGCCTAAAACGCTGTCCTGACCTCTGTCCACTTCCCCTCTGTGCCTGCCGGTGCAGCTGTGCGGCTGCAGGACCGGGGAGAGTAAAACGTCTCCTCTGAATGGTTTAAATTGTGTCGTTAGGTATAAAAGGCCCTGAGTGCCTGTGAAATGTCAGCTGTGTTGAAATGAGTTTTCAGTCTGTTAAAGATGGAGCTTCCCCAAGGTACTGAGAGAAAGCCGAGCAGAATTGGAGGATGAAGATTGATGAAAGAACAAATATAACACAGCTGATGGAGGATAAACATGTGGGGAACAACATATACAAAATAATAAAAGACTAATCTTTATGATGAATCTTTATTTATGCCAATTATAAACTAAAAGTTTTTTGGGCACATTGATTTTCAACCTTGTACCAAAATAATCTACTTCCCCAGTTGTCTCTATAATTCAGTGTCTGTGTATTGTCTGGGAAACAAAGACATACATTTCTGTTAATGTAGCCAAAGACCAGAAGCCTTGGAGGTTGAATTTCTTGCCCAGAACATAAAGGTCACGTAGCACTTCAGTCTGACGCCTGTGAGTGACAGCAGCTCTGAGGGCACACAGACACACTGCTTCTCTAAATGTTAATGTTCCCACATGGACGACTCTGTCTCTCTTTCTGATGCCGTCACACTGAATGTTACAAAATACAGTCGTGCTCCCTGTACTTTTGGAGTTGTGTGTTTCATTGCTTGCAGACTAGTGTAGGAATGTGTGCATGAAGAGGAGTAGTTGGAACAACTGTTGTTTCCCTGTTTTCAGAGGACAACCACTAGAGGGAGCTGCATGACACCACACTGTCTAGTGAGTGCAGGCCATAAAAACATGTTTCCATCACCAACTCACTTTAAACGTCACAGAAACTTTACACAGACGCTACAGTGTTTTCAAAAATCAACATTTAAGTTTGATAGAAATGAACAAATACGTCTGATAAATAAAATACACTTAATTATATACTGGTATGTGTCCTTCAAAATAAAAGCTGAAGAAATAGAGGTAATATTATAGAATGAGGAAACCTACCAGCCCAAAGGAAAAAGTTTCACCCTATTAATATTTTGTCCACAAGTTATATAATTTCTTTGGTTACCAATACGTGTCAGTAATCTGTTACTGTTAAAGAGCAGTGCAATTTCTGAGGAGCTGTTTGGCTGCACAAACTGATACTAAGAGGAGTTGCTGGCTGGACTTTATACAAAGAATCAGCAGAAGTGAGGAGTTCAGACAAGTAGTATATACATATAAGAATAAAAACTGAAGTGTAAGCACAGTATGGAGTCAGAGAAGGGTCAAAAATACTTTGAGCTTGTGGAATGTGAGAGATGGTCAGAAGCAGCAGACTTCTTTTTCTGGAAGATGAATTACAAATGCAACTTTAACCTTCTCCAAGACCGACTAAATTCAACTGCTTATATAGGGGCTGGTTAGAATAGTTCATTTTGCTTAGGACCTTATAACTGAGTGGAATGACCTGGAAGTATTTCACTGGCCGCCATAATAAGAGATGTTTGAATTCTCTAAAGGATAAGGAGAGGAGCTTCAATGCTTCCTAACTTATCTCCTTCAGCATAGGAAACGTCTGACCATCGTTTATAAAAAGGAAAGGAGAAACTTCTGCCCCACAATTCTTTGAGGCAGCAACATTTAAAGCTACACAACCTTGTAGTTGCACCTGGACACACTCACGTAAATACAAAAAACAGAAGAGTTGTTTTATCCTCATGACACGATCCAGAATAATGTCAATCATTACATGATCGATTGAGTTCCTGATTTCTTCTCTGTCACACATGTCCAGTCAACAACAAACATATTGAACTAATATGTTCACTTCGAGACATCATAATTAAACACAAATATAAATTTTAATCACTTTAATCCCCCGATTGTGGAATGCACAATCATATGATTAGGTTCTTTCAACATTTCAGTCCTGTTTGTTTCATTTCCTTTAAAATCTGTGAAGTTATTATTTCCTGTGAGTGTAGATTATGATTAAATGTTCCCTTTGTATCAAATCTTTTCTCAGGATGTGTCATTCTATTTTGGACAGGAAACTGTATCATAACTGCCACTGCACAGCCCACAGCGCCGTACATTTTGTGCATATCTTCTGTTATGAATTAAGTTGTTTTTAAAAAAACGCAGTGTGTAAGTGAAGTCCAATTTTATTTGCACTGTGGTTCCTCTTTCCTAACTCCTTACTACAGTGGCCGACAGAGCTCAGTGCACTGCACATGAAGAAAACGTGTAAATAGAAAAAACACGTGCAAATTAAGAAAAAAACTTCATCAATTTGATGTCCAAATAATCTCCTTTTTGAAGGAAAGATGTGAAGAAGAAGCCATAAGTTACGGTGGTCCTGAGAGCTCAAAACACTGTAAATTAAGAAAATAACTTCACTAATTTGAGGACACATGTGCTGAAAAAAGTCACAAAACAAGCAAATACAGAAACATGCTGCAAATGGCAAAATCTAAATGTTTCCAGGGGAGCCAAAAAAGTAATGAACCTGGCCGTCGATAGATGCTGGCTGCTTCTAGTCAGTGGTGATGGAACTTCAGGAAGCATTGAACTACAGCCAGGTTCATCACTTTTTGGGGTCCCCTGGAAACATTTAGTTTTCGCAGTTTGCAGCACGTTTCTGTACTTGCATGTGTTGTTGCTTTTTGCAGTGCATCCGTCCTCCAATTGATTGTTTTGAGCTCTCTGGGCAAACGGCTTCCCCTTTACACCTTTCCTTGACCTCTTCCCTCAGGATCAGGGAATAGTGGCTAAAAAAGGAGATTAGTTGGACTTTTCGAACGCATCCATTGTTCCTTCACACCTGCCCGCTCCAGCCAGATCCATAAGAAAAGCAGGTGGAGTCACACAAGACTCTTACTACGAACAAATCAAATAACACTTCAGAACCACTTTAGATGATCCTTTAAATGTATAATCATCTCTGTAAAAAGTATCTTATCTAAACAGATGAACACTGAATGCCTCAAATACACAATAAAAAAAACTTTCCTAGAAAATTGAATCCCGTCACTTGGTTTGACCCAGTGACGTTATCCGTGACATCACCAACACCTTAAAATGAGGAAGTGCCGAGCAGCTCCCGCCTAAACACGACTCCAGAATGGTGGAAGTGAACAAACGCAAACCAAACAAACAAAAGCATGTTCTAATCTGCAACATAAAGGTAACTAACACTAGCTTATCTGCGTGAGTCACTTTAATCTGCTCATGTGCTCTTCGTGAACTGTAGCATCAGTGATAGTTCACCAATATCCTCAGGTGCATTTATTCATTTGATGAATTGTTATAAATTCAGATAGATTGTGCTGTAAACTACTCTGAAATGTTTGAAGTAAAGTTTCTAAGTTTATTTGTTCACTTATTTGCATGTAGTTGATGTTTTGAAAATCTCTGTGTTTTTCGTTGAGTTCTGGTCAGTTTGCTTTGGAGAATGTCTTCATTTCCTGCCTTTGTACTGAAATTGGTTGTAATTCTCCCTTCACTCAGTGACAGTCCTAAATACATTGGAATGATTGGAGTTAAACAGCTTAAATAACTATTCACTTCTAGACTCTTTTGTGCTATAATCTTTAAATTTAAATTAAAATAGAAACTAATCTCCTTTCCTTTTTTAGCAGGGGGACAAATTTGTTCATAACTTGCTAGAATCCTGCTAATACATGCTGATTGGTCCGTTTAAGATTTCCATCTGATTGTAACACACTATGGAACAAGTGGAACAATCATTGAAGCAGGAGGATCTTGATGTTTGACAACCAAATGTAAATGTAACCTGATTAATGTGGTAGCTAATAACTAGTCATGATGGCATTAATAACTATTGTCCAAACAATAGGGTAGGAATCTAATCTAATTGAAAAATATCTTTTGTCTCTCTCTTACATTGAAAATGTTATGGACATTTTCAGAAAAAACTTTATTACCCCATAAGCCCAAATCATTGTGGACCTGTTCTAGATTGTCTCTTGACTGCCCCCTTCACAACCTGTAGTTACGAGAGTTGAACTTCTCCCAGTTTTATAAATGTTCTGGTCGGGTTTCGAGGAGTAAGTTATTATCTAGGTTATATTTTCATGTCTGTCTGAAGGGAGGATTACTCAAAATACTAAACCAATGTCCATGAAATTATCTTTAGTGGCATGACCAAAGATGAATCCATTAAATTTCAGAGCAGATCTGGATAAACGGTCGAATCCAGGGAATTTATTTCTTTTTTATTCTCTTTAACATGGCGAGACACTGCATTAGCCTTGGTGGAAGTATAT